CACTCGCCATCAACCGTTTGTTCACCATGTCACAGGGCAACACTGCAACACGGGATTGGCTCACAGAGTGGCAGAAGATTGCGGCAGTGCCCAATCTGGACCTGCCTTTCACTCATCTCAGGCGTGAATTCTACAACAGGTCTTGTGCTGCATTGAGCCAGGCTCTTGGTGATCGCGAGCAGTACGCCACCTTCGCCGAGGCAAGGCGCGAGAGATCATCAAGACCAACAGGTCAGCTGCACATGAGAAATCAACATCATGGCAGCCGACCTATGTGGAGAAGGTACGATCTGGTCCGCGACAGCAGCACTTCGCTGCAGTCCAGCAGAACAGTGGGGATATCAGGTGGCTGCTGTCCAGCGGCGAAGCACCAACAAGTCCCGCAACAGTGAGAAGGCGAAATCCGCATCGCAGGCCGGAAATGGACAGCCAGGACAGTTTCCATAGGCCAAGTTTGGCTTGACCGAGGCGGAGTACAAAGTCCGCGGCCGCTACAGCAGCTGCTATTGGTGCAACAGCACCAAGCACAGGACCTCCCTGTGCCAAGATCAGGGCAAGGAGGATGTGCGACCCCGCCTCAGCTCGAGAAACTGAGCTTCGCGGAAGGTGAGGCGACTCCACCTTCCACTCCACCAGATTCGGCTGCGATTCGGCCGCCTTGCTAGCGGCCTCCTCCACATCTGGGAAGGATGCGAATGTCGCAAGTCCTCGGTATACTTACGAGGATTATGCTGTCCACTTGGTCCCACCGCTGGACCAACCGCTCCACGTGCAACAGCCCACCGCATGCACGGTTTCATCACCATCGTCAACCGATTCGGCAGCTTCGCCGCAATCTATCGCCGGGGATTCGACGTCATGGTCAAGACTTGATGAGCTCGACCCGTTGACGTTCACGGACTTCCAGTGGATGCCCGTTCCCTCGACCGGACGATTGCCGAAACCGCATTGCAATGTGCTCATGGCACAATTGCGGGACTACTTGCACACTGCAGTACCAGCTCCGTTGATGAACGCTAGAGCAGAGGTTGTCGACCTTCTCGCGTACATCGCGAAGATCGACCGCGAGTTCAAGACGCAACGGTACGACGACATCGACGCACCATTGCTATACGTATGCATTCAAATCGGAGAGGCGACCTGCAGTGCCTTGATCGATTGCGGAGCATCTCGCAACTACATCAGCCAGGACTTCATGGTACGCGCCGGCCTTACCCCACGTGTCCGGAGGAAGTCCCAGCCTACGCAAGTCACTCTGGCAGACGATCATACGCACAAGTCCATCGACCGGTGCATTGACGCCGTCCCAGTGTACTTCGCCCCTCACGCAAGTGAGGCGGTGTCCTTTGACATTCTGGACACCAAATTCGACATGATCTTGGGCATGTCATGGCTACGAAGCGAGGATCACCCGATGAACTTCTTCAAACGCACCGTTCACATTCGTGATCGGAACGGAGTATTAGTTCCATGCACGGTGCCCCTTCCTCATCCTTCGATTAGCTGCCACGTGGTATCCGCCGCAAGCATGCGAGCTTCCATCATCAGAGACGACATCGAGGAGATGGGGGTGTGTTTTCTCCACGCCCTCCCGCCCCATGACGCTTCATCGACGGACTCACCTTCGGATCCATGCATCACCGAACTTCTCGACGCCTATAGCGACGTGTTCGAAGGCCCGCACGGAGTAGTACCGGATTGACCCATCCGCCACGAGATCATCCTCGAGGACGGGGTACGACCGCGCGGTTGCATCTACCGAATGAGCGCGGAAGAGTTGAGTGTGCTTCGGGTACAACTCGACGACCTTCTGGAGAAAGGCTGGATTCGGCCTAGCTCATCGCCATACGGTGCTCCTGTTCTCTTCGTCCGGAAGAAGAACAAGGACTTGCGGTTGTGCATCGATTATCGCAAGCTCAACGCGCAGACGATCAGGAACGCCGGCCCTCTCCCACGCATCGATAATCTTCTCGAGCGATTGGGCGGCGCCCAGTTTTTCTCGAAGCTGGATTTCAAGTCAGGGTACCACCAACTCAGTTCGCAAGGAGGACCGTTACAAGACCGCATTCAAGACACGATATGGGCATTTCGAATGGCTGGTTATGCCATTTGGCCTTACGAATGCCCCGGCCACTTTCCAAGCGGCTATGACAACGGAGTTCCGACACATGCTGGATCGTTTCGTACTTATATACCTCGACGACATTCTGGTTTACAGCCGGAGTCTGGACGAGCATGTGGAACACCTGCGCACCGTTTTGGAGCGGCTACGACAGGCCAAGCACAAAGCAAACCGCGACAAGTGCGAGTTCGCACAGCAGGAGCTGGAGTACTTGGGCCATTTTGTGACGCCGCAAGGCATCTGTCCGCTCGCGGACAAGATCGAGGCCCTACGAGTATGGCCCGAGCCCACCAACACCACGGACGTTCGTTCATTCATGGGATTGGCGGGCTACTATCAGCGATTCATCACCGGATACTCCAGGATTGCTGCACCTATGA